CTGAGAATCCTAGCAGGCATTGTTATTCAGACCCCAGTCCGAAATCAATGTTTGAGTCGATGTTTTATAAAACCACATTTTTCTTTACTACATTATAACAACTGCATGTTTTTTTTTTAGGCATTACAGGTGTTTTAAAACTTAATACTAACTCATCTCAGTCCGATTAGATAGATATTACCTTGGAGCATTATTTTTAAGATCTTGCCTACAGATTCCCAGTAGACTAATAAAATAACTCCTTCTGGGTCATTCCAACACATATATACATTACGAGCTTTACCATCCTCTGAAGCTCTAACTTTTATACAGTGCCATTGCTTAGCTGTGAAAAGAATATCCTTACTGGTCCTTTGTCTTGGTTCTGCTGCTCCTGGAGCTCCGAACAAAGCTTTTTCAGTTGCTGCCTCAAAATTGTGTAATGATCTCCCCCTCCCCATTAGACAATCCTCCTTATTTCCTATTTTTAAAACTCGTCTTAAAACCAGTTTTTATTATTTGGCTTTCAACACAGCATTAAACTGCCTCTGTGCTTTTTTTTATGTGGTTTTACTTGTTTAAATGTATTAATTTTATTTTATTTGTTTTATACATTCGTTGTTTTTATACATTTTTTTAACTTTGTTTAGTATGTAGAGCACCTTGTGGCAGCTAGGGTTGTTTTAATTGTTATTAAGTAAAGTTGAGTTGCCAAGATATAAGAATACCTTTAATTTAGATCATTTATCTTGTTTTACTGTAGGTGTTATTTTTCTCTTTTAAGTGTGCAACTTTGTGCTATAATCTTAACTCAATAATTCTTCTCATGCATGACTTGCTATATGGACAAATAATTTCACTTTGAACATCTTTTCCCTTAGATATAGTGCTTTTATCTTGTTTTTAGACATCCTGTTTTGCAGTGAAAGCCCTGAATGCTATGACCGACTACATAAATCACTTGTTTTTATTTTGAACAGCAGTTTAAATACAAGAATTTCTGATATTTACCTGAACGGCGGATGTAAACTGTTCCAATTTGCTCCCAATCTTAGGCACAAAGGGAGTATGTGATACTCTGGCTGGGCTGTTGGAAGGATGAAAAATGTAAGAGTTTTATTTTTGGTGATGAAACAGTGGTTCGTTATTTATATATGTTAAATTATTAATTATCTAACACACCTTTTTTGAGCTGACTTGCTCAAAAATTCGGCCTTTTCCCCGATCTGCAAGAGAGAGGATTGTTCAAAGTTACCAATGCATGCAGAAAGCAGGACTATTCACTTCAATTCAATTCAGTTTATTTATATAGCGCCAAATTCACAACACATGTCATCTCAAGGCACTTTACAGTTCAACCAGATCACACAGTCAAATTAAAGACTAGTTGATAAGTAGAGACAGCGGAATAATTGCACTGGCGTACAAAGACAGAAATATCTTCTGCTGTTCGATACTATCTGAGAAATTGGACTGAATATCAACAAGCTACGAAACGCGCAGATTGTTTCTCTTTAAAAAAAAAAAAGGCAGGTTTTCTTTTAGAAATCTTCCCATTTGTCTTAGGCTTTTTAACGGTTATCTGTTATCTTTATCTTTCATTTATAATTAACCTTTTAATGTTTTTTCTTTTGCTTTTTTTTTTGCTATGCTAAGTATTTTCATTTTCACCTCATAGTAAAAAGACATCTAACCTCAGATATGATTTTCAGTGATTTAAAAAATATCCAAACAAAACGATCCTTTAAAAGCTAATTAAAAAAAATGTATCCTTTAAGTCTTCCTTTAGCTAGATAAAAATAAAATATGAAGAATTGTTTTCACACTTTTAGGCACAAATATTGTTGTCAATCTTCCTAAATTTCAAGAAAAACATTATAGTTTTTTTTCAACTATATTTTTACCGGCAGAAATGTGTTGTTAGTTATTCATTTCAATCTAATCTTTGATTTTAGTTGGAGTTGGAAATGAGGCAAGTTTACTGAGATGTCTCCTTAGAAACTTTGTCTCTTCCTTTCTGTATAGCAGACTATATTCGGAGTGCTACACACCATCAGAACTGCAAATTGCTGGCATGGGTGGTTTATTTTATATTTTTTAAATGCATGTTTACTTTGATAAGTCATTTTTTCCTGCAATGTCACCTTAGAGGAGCCTTTGGGACTGATGGTGAAATCAGGTTTTGCTGTTTCCTCCCCCATTTGTTTCTTCTTTTCTGCAGCCTCTGCTCTTCTTCTCTCTATCTCTTCCCTCATCCTCCTTCTCTCCTCCTGTTGGAAAAGTCCAAAAATTGTTAAATGTTGTTAAATAAAGTACAAATATAATGCTTTTTTTCAGGTTTGGGTCTTTTTTTCAGTTTTCTCTAAATTGCATCACATTAAAAGCACATGAGTGATGGGATGCTTTCTAAGAACGTAATACATTTTCATTGTTAAACAGCTCAGATCATAGGCTAGAATGTACCCCAAAATAGGTGGACTGTGATATGAACTTGGAGCTTATAACTTATCCTTTATTCTTAGTTGTCTTCTTTTAAGGCTTGTTTTAGCCTGGAAACAAAGGAAACCACTTCAACTACTAGAAATACAAGATTGTTGGTGCAGGTTTAACATCTAACATACCACCTCAGATTTATACAAATAGACCGCTTGAATACCTCTAAGGTTAAATTTCCTTCAAAAGGCTGAAACTGCACACTTCTTTGTAGCCATCAATAAGGTTTTGGTACTTCTGATGGAGTATTTGACAGCTTCTCAAAGACAGATTTGGTAAATCTCAGAGATCTTGCTTTTTTTGAAATCCTTTTGTAGTTCAAACATGCTGTTATGTTCTTGTATCAGCCATCAGATCTAACCTGCGACCGTCAGATTAAAGAAATTGTTCAGGATATGAATGAAAACTTAAAAGACCATCAAAACTCCAGGCCTCATACTGTAAGTCAATGATGGTGAAACTTTTGTGTCTCTGCCCACAGGGAAGTGTGTATGACCTCAATATAGACAAAGAAAGTAATAAAAACCTTGAAGTCTAATTGTAATTTGCTGCTCCACACATGGACATGATAAATGCCTTATAAGAAAAGTTTTAATGGCAGAGGAGGAAAAGGTTGCAACAATATTTAAGAACGGCATTTGAAGGTTGAAGATGAGGCTCTACAGCTAAAAACGGTATCAGCTGTTAAGTGTGGTGATGGTGGCGTCATGCCGAGGCGGTGTTTTCCTTTGAGAACTATTAGAAGAAAGGGTAGCTTCAAGTTCCTTAACTTCCTCTGATATCATCACTGAAAGTGTTTCAACATGACCATAAATGCATGTGACCTTCTGACTAGAGATGCAAATATTTCCATCATAAGAAACTCTAGTTCACCTGCTCCCTGGCTTTCTTTTCCTCTTGCTCCTTCTTCCTCTGCTTCTCCTCCTCCTCCAGGATTTTCCTCCTCTCCTCCCTCTTCCTCTTCAACTCCTCCAGCTCAGCCTCTGCATCCTGCTGCTTCTGCCTCATCTTCTCGATCTCCTCACTTTCAGCATTGTTTCGCCGCTGTTTCAGCTCCAGCAGCTTCCGCTCGGCCTCCCTTCGCTCCTCGTCTTCTGCCTTAGTGGCAAGAACACTGTCCCTGCTCACACAGTATTGAAAATGTATTTATAACAGCAGCTCTAAACAATGAGGATCATATGATTAGAGCAGGCAGTACAGCTAGTTAGCTTTCATATTGTATTTTAATAATTAGGAAAAGCAAACTCAAAAGTATAATCTTATATTATGAGGGAAACATATATGTGCCACTGGCTATAAATTTGCAAATGCATTTCATTTTGTTTCCTTCCAATGATTATAAAAAATGTGTGCAAAAATAAATCTATTATGTTTTACCTTGATGGTTTTTCTGTTTTCTTCAATTTATTCTCAAAAATGGCTCCGTTCTGCTTGGAAGGCTCATTCTGAATAAAGATGAATAACACGCCATCAATAAAAAGGCACACTGTGATAATAATACACTCATTATGGCCATGAGTATTATGTATAATTTAGGTATATTTAGTTTTTTTGTGTGTTTGTTTGCTTTTGTGGGAAACGATGATATGGAAAACTATGTCAGTGATTAAAAAAGATATTTTAAAATTTGGATTTCCCCTTTTATCTCCTTTTTCTTTCATCTTTTCTCCTTTTTTTCTGTTTTTCCTTTCCTGTTCTATATACATTGCAGTGTCCATATAATCTGTAAAACTCCCTGCAGAATTATAATAAAGCAATTTATATGCATAAAACAAGAGGAACACTGCGGCGATAGCCGTACTGCTCCACTTGTGAAAGTAAAATCTGTTTGGCTCTTTTTGGCATCAAGACAATTATTCTTATTGCCACATTGCCAGACAGGACACTGTTAAAAAAAAAAAAAAAAAAAAAAAATTGGATATGCACGTAAACATTCATTAATCAGAAAAAGTAGATGTGGAGTCAACATGTCTCCAAGTCGGAGTATTTGTTCTGCTCAGCCCCTGGACCAGTTGAGTCCAATCTGCACAATTTTATTCACTGTGCAAATTGGACTCGCTTTGTTCACAAATCACGGCATAGAGATGACATCTTAACATCTCCATATCTACTATCTACCTCTGTTGTCGTTATGCAACTAAATATCCTGTTGAAATTTGTGTTGAAAACCATTCTTTATAGCTTTCAATAAAGGTTTTATCAGAACTAGAGACGCTGAGGTCTACAAAAACTGGAAGAGCTTGGATCATCTGTGTCCTTGTCCAAAGTGATGCCAGCTGTAGACTGCTGTTACCTAAGAGGGAGCTGATCAAGAATGAGGCCCCATTAAGACAACTTTTCAACTGAAATTTGCAGATGTAAAATTGGACAAGCCAAAAGATTTCTGATGAAATCAACAAAAACATGACTGTTCTGGGACCTAGGCAATTGAAGAAGCTCTGCCTAATTCTGATAAAAAAAACAAAACAGATATCCCACCTGAATAAGTGTCGATGGCTGCAAAAAATTTTTTTATCTGAAAATCGATTAATCCAGGTAGTAATGGAGGTATTTGTTTGTTGCAGGTTCTGTGTTCATAGAAAGCTGCAGCTGTACCCTGCTGGTTTCTACCCAGTTCTGCTTATCTAAATGAATGGGTTATTTTTGTAGCACTCATTCGTATACTCAAAAACATTAAATACAACAATAAATTTTTTTCAGAAGTGTATTTAAAATGTTAGTTATTACACTAGAGGTGCTCATGATCAGTGTGTATAACCTTTTACTCATGCTGCAAATAATAATAATAAAATAATAATAATAAAAAAAATGCTAGTTTTGTTTTACCTTTTCCTTAAAGCCAAGTTTCTTTGATTTCTCCGCCTTTACAGAGAAAAACAAAACAGAAAATTAAAATCGCTAATTTTCAAAGCATTGTAGTTAAGGAATAATGGCAGTTCAATGACTGTGTGGCTATTCTGTGACCTCAGACCACAGAATAATCACAAGATTAATCTGATTATCTGATAAATATGATAAAATAATTATCATAAATATCCACTGTGTTCTGATGTTATTGGTCTAATACCTACCTCTTCCTTCTTCTTCTTCTCTTCTGCCTCTCTCTTTTTGCGTTTATCCTCCTCCTCTTTTTTCTTCTTTTCCTCCGCCTCCCTTTTCCTCTTCTCCTCTTCTTTCTTTTTCTCTTCCATCTCCTTTTTTCTCCTCTCCTCTTCCTTTTTTTTCTCTTCTGCTTCTCTTTTCCTCCGTTCCTCTTCTTTTTTCTTCTCCTCTATCTCCTTTTTCCGCTTCTCTTCTTCCTCTTTTTTCTTCTCCTGTTCTATCTTCTTTCGCTTTTCCTCCTCTTCCTTTCGCTTCTTCTCCTCAAGTTCTTGTCTCTGTTTTTCTTCTTCTTCTTTCCTCATTTTTTCCTCCATTTCTTTTCTCTGTTTTTCCTCCTCTTCTTTTTTCTGCCTTTCTTCCTCTTCCTGGTTTTGCTTCTCTGTCTCCTCTGTCGTCTGTCCCTCCTCCATCTCCCCTCTCTGTTTTTCCTCTTCTTGTTCTTCATTCACTTTCTCCTCTATTTCTTTCTTTTGTTTTTCTTCTTCCTCTTTCCGGAGCCTCTCTTCCATCTCCTTTTGTTGCTTTTCCTCTTCCTTCCTTTTCTTCTCTTCTTCCTCTTCTTTTAGTTTCCTCTCTTCCTCTTCCTTCTGTGCTTTTTCCTCCATTTCCTTTTTCTGCCTCTCCTCCTCCTCCAACCTTAGCTTCTCTTCCTCTTCTTTGTGTTGTCTTTCCTCCTCCTCTCTCCTCTTTCTATCTTCTTCCTCCTTGTTTTCATCAGAAACAGCTTCCTCTTCTGTATCCTTCTTCCCTGCTTCAGGTTCCTCAGGCTCCTCTTCAGGTGTTACCGTCTCCGCCTTAGTCTCCTAGAAATAATTTTTACATTAACATTCCATTAATATCCAGACAAATATGAAGAGACAATCAATCAATCAATCAATCAATCAATCAATCAATCAATCAATCAATCAATCAATCAATCAATCAATCAATCAATCAATCGAAGTGCTGTACAAAATTATTTCAAAATAATTTAAAAAATCAAAATACAAGAAGAAAACTTTACATATACTGTAAATATAATTCAGTTCTCATTTTACCAGGGCCATAACCATCATGTATAAAAGGCCAATCTGAACAAATAGGTCTTTCAGCCTGGTCTAGAACAGACACAGGGTTGTTCCTGTTCTAGAATTGGACAAACTTTATTGTCATTTTGTATGCACAAAGTGTATACAAAATTTAGTTTCTACAGCTTTCTGACAGTGAATGAGCAGCTTAGTCTTGGAAAAGAATCCAAGTGTAGACAGTGTGGGAGAGACATGGTGCAAAAAGACAATGATGTGGAAGGTTCAGAGCACTGCAAAAATAAATAAATAGATGCAACATATTCTCATTATCAGTTCGTATGAAATCATACGAAAAGTTATGCACAGTATTTCTTACTTTTTTTACGTTTTTCCTCGAAAAAAGGGTCAGGGTTAGGGTTAATTGTATGTTAAATTCTATGTTATTGAATGGTGCGTAAGATGCGCATGCGCAAGGATGTCTTGTCTCGAGGCAAGACGTAAAAATACGACGAAATACGACGAAAAAAACGTCAAAAACGTTCGAAATACTGTGCATAACTTTTCGTACGATTTCATACGAACTGATAATGAGAATACACTGATAGATATTGTGCAAAATGCAGATGAGCGCTATTTTGAAGATTCACCATGTAGTGCAAGTATGATCTTATCAGTGTGATGTAGATGATTCTAGGGGAAGAAAGCTCCAGATTTTGAGCCCGGTTGCATAAACAGTGGATATGCAGGTGGGGGACAAAGTGATGGTTGGGCAAATAAATGCAATGTTTTTTGCATGTGATGAGATCAATAATAAAAAGCACATCACTGAATAAGTTCCCCTCTGCTCCTTTACCAGTCCTCACATCACCCTTCCTGGGCACACACTCCAGTACGCGCTTCTTTGAAAATGAAAGAGGGGAATATTCTAACACTTTTAAATTAAAGCATTTTTTTTTTGTTTTACTTTAAAAACTGGTTAAAGACAGTAGTTTAATTTATATCCTTTAAAAAGTTTGTTCCAAAAAATAACTAAAGCTACTGGTGGTAAAAATGACAGGTTACCTCTTCTCCAGAGTAAGAAGCAGCAGAGCCGTTCCCGGATTTATTGGGTAAATATTATTTTTAGTATATGAAAATATATCTTATTTAAGTCTTGTTTATGTTTTACTGTTTTCAGTTTTTGTGATGGAGATCAAACCTACATGGATTGAAGGCCCAGGATCCGTGGGAGCATCTGACTTTAAATGTAGATGCCAATTGTGAAAAATGTACTTTCTTTAATCAGCTCTAAACATTTTGGTTACTGTTTGAAAAATCTATTTGCCTGATCTAAACCCTCTCTGTGTGTAGCATTGTTCCAGGAATCGGATAGTGATCAGTATTTGCAACAGAAATATAAGGGGATTTTTTTATGGTTTATTTTATTATTTATGGCAAATTGAAAATAAAATGTGGTATCACTGAACTTGAAAGCAACGGCACCTGCACTGTTTCTGTATACCTCTTGAAAAGTTCTATCATTTAATGCCAGAGGTGGAAAGAGTAGTAAAAAATTGTAATTGAGTAAAAGTATCTTTACTTTGCCTAAATTCTACTCAGAGTAAAAGTAAAATTACGCATCTCAAAATTTACTCAAGTAAAAGTACAAAATTACTTCATTTAAAATCAAATTTGAGTAAAAGTTACTTAGTAACTTTGAGTTATTTAATGCAAA